GGAAGGAGCCCAAATGCCCATCAACTGGAGACTGGATAAAGAAAATGTGGTTTTTTAATAAAATGGAGTACTACTCAGCCATACAAAATGAGAAATTAGAGACATTTATAGCTAAATGGATGCACATTGAGCCAATACTCTTAAGTGAAATAAATAGGACATGTGTAAATACCGAATTGTTTCTCTATATGAGAAACTGAAAGTGTAAATGAGGACTAAAAGGTATAATAAATAATGTGAAATAGGAAGAAAAGGGGCAAAGGGAAAGGGGAAGTGGGAGGGGTAGGAGAAGGAAAGACGGGAATGGAACTAATATGAGAGAAAGAAAAAAATGGAAACAAAGTCTTTGTAAATAGGGAGGGATCGAGTGGTTGAAGGGAGGGCGGGGAAGGGGGAAAAAATAAGAATCAAGAGAGATTATGTAAAGGTGCAAATTTCCAATGATGAATGTCATTATATTGTACACCTAAAATGTACCAATAAAATTAATTTTTAAAAAAAGAGTAAAGAACACGAATTGGCAGAAAACAAAAGAAATGTTCAGTAAACATATGGCCCATATATAACCATCATCAGGCACTAACTGTGATTCAAGAGAAAACATAATTGAGAAAAGTCTAAAAATAACATGACCATGTGGAAAACAATACTAAGAGATTGTTAGGAATGTGGAAAAATTAAAGTTAGGTATATAGAAAATGAAGCAAACAAAAAATGAGGCAATTATTAAGTGTAAATTCCCCATATGTTGCAGGGAAAATAATCATTCTTAGCATGAGAACAATTTTGGGAATTGTCCATTCGCAAGTAATGAATGAAAATATGAAGGGATTCTTACCTGCTTCAAAGCAGGGGAACAAGGAATCAGCTCTCCTATCCTGTTTATCCCAGCATTGATTTTCTTCTTTCTATGCCTTTCCACTAAATAGGGGGAAAAATCCATTTATTAAATGTTATATTACTGTCCCAAAGTACCCCATTTTCCCTTGTCAAAGAAATTTCAGGTAAAGAAATATTTATCAAATAGTATCTACAAAAGTCAAATAACTATAATAAGTAAATCAGATTTCTAAGAATGTAGTACTTTTAAGTCTTAAATGTTATAAAAAGCAATACCTTCATTAGGATTTTAAATATCTATAATTATATAACATATATTTTATATAGTCTATATCTCATATATATTCATGTAGAATATCATCTATAATAGTTATATTCAAATTATAAAAACCAGGAGTGAATAATACTGAATTATTATTAGGTCACCATTCTATTACACTTGAAGTAACTATTAGGGATTTTAATGATAACTGAATTTAAAGAACCCACTAGCAAGCTGCACAAGGTGGTAAATATCTGTAATCTCAGCTATGCAGGATGTGTAGGAGGGATGCCAGTTCAAGACCAACCTGGGAAACTTAGTGAAACCCTGTCTCAAAACAAAAAAATATAAAGGGCCGGGCCGGGGATTTAGCTCAATGGTTCTGCTGCCTGCCTCGCAAGCACAAAGTCCTAAGTTCAATCCCCAGTACAAAAAAAAAAATATATATATATATATATATATATATATATATAAAGGGCTGAGGGTGTAGCTCAGTGGTAGAGCACTTGTTTAGCAGCTCCTAGGGCCTGACTTCAATCCTCATTATTAAAAAAAAAAAAGTATACAGATTAAAGAACCTTAAAACACTTCTTAGGATAACTGGAGGGCCTTTTTGGGAATAGAAACAGCTATTTGTTTGATTTAAAATAGACAAGAAAGGGCACTGACTTGGTTTTCTCTATAGGCTTCGACCATTTTTAATATATAATAAACTGGGCTACTGGCAGTGTCTTAATTATGTGTGAAACATTCCAGACTTACATGTTACAACTTTAAAAGGGTAAAAGAAAATAAGACATTATCTAAATTTCTGTAAGACTTTTTAGGTAGAAAAAGTACTCTTGGCTATTTTCCATTATGAGGGTTTCTAAAATCTTCCTTTCTAACCCAGGATTTCAGGGCTTTTAAGACAATCAGATTGTAGCCTGCATAGAACTTGTTTTTAAAAATAGATTTTATTCATTCATTTGTTCATTCATCCATTTTTGTTTCATGATCTAGCAGTAAGGGCATCCTTTTCAATGACATCTAATTACTCTCTCTTAATAGGGTGGCCCAAACATACTTACAGCACCATGAGCCAGCTAATTCCAATAAAAAGATTTTGTTCATATAGCTTAAAATACAAGATTTCATTCATGTAACCAAAAAAGCAACAAGTATAGCTTACCTTTCTTCTGCATTTTCTAACAACAGAATTTTCTGTCATCTAAGAGTGTATATTTTTTAGTGTGTGGAGTTTTAAAAAACATTAAGACTCATTACCAATAGTAATACAGTAAGTCCCCAACTTATGAACATTCAAGTAGCAAACCACAGGTGTACTGTGTAAGACTCACTTTGCAGGTTACAAACAAATCTGACTTATAAATGTTCTCCTAGAATGGAACTTGTTCACAAGTCTGAGACTTACTGTAAATGGGTTTCAAAGATAATAAACAGCTAAGCATGGTGGCATACACCTGTGATCCCAGCACTTGGGAGGCTGAGGCAGGAAGATTGCTGTGAATTTGAAGCCAACCTGGACTAATTACGTAGTAAGTTCAAGGCCAGCCTGAACTACATAGCGAGATCCTATCTCAAAAAAACCAAAAAAACACACAAACAAACAAAAAAGGATAATAAATAACTAATTCTAGGCAATAGCAATATCCCACCTCTGTTCAAGACAACATTCCACTAATAAGATTTTTCCCAAGGGTTCTTTTCTTAGGGAAAGGAAGATACCACTTCTACAATAAAAAGACTTTTAACTTCTAAATTGTTTTTGGTCTGCATGCAGTACCTGATGGAAAACAGTGTCCACAATGTGCAAAGCTGTAATTGTATGCAGTTAATCCTATATATGTTTATCTTGGAGGAAGAAAAAGTTCAAATGGGAAGGGAAAGAAAGGAAGGGGAAGGGGAAGGGGAAGGGGAAAGGAAAGGAAAGGAAAGGAAAGGAAAGGAAAGAAAAGGAAAGGAAAGGAAAGGAAAGGAAAGGGAAAAATAAAGAGAAGAAAAAAATACAAAGCTTTTGTAAATAAAGAGGGAAACAAGGGTTGAACGGAGGGAAGGGGAATGGGAAAAAAAGAAGAATCAAGATATGTTATGTACAGGTACAAATCCCCTAAAATGAATGTGATCATTATGTATATCAAAAGTATAGCAACCGCTGGGGATTTAGCTGAGTGGTTCCAGTGCCTACCTCAAAAGCACAAGGTCCTGAGTTTGATCCCCAGTACCAAAAAAACCAAAACAGTATAGCAATATATTTAATTTTAAAAATAAATATAATAGCTGGGCATGGGGGTGCACATCTGTAATCCCAGAACTCAGGAGGCTGACGCAGGAAGATCATTGCAAGTTCAAGGCCAGCTTGGACTAGATAGTAAGGCCTTTTCTCAAAAAACAACAACAACAACAAATATTTATCTTGCTTTGATCTGTACTTTTCATGTTTGAGATAAAATTGAATAAAGTATTTATTTTCTACATTTCTTCTTATAATCAAGAGTTTAAAACTTCAGACTATTCATACACAAAGTCTCTTTAAGACCTACAGTCTTGAGGAATGATCACAATGAGTTCCAGGCCAGGCTGGGCTACACAGTGAAAGAAAGGCCAGCCTGAAATACGTACCAAAACCCTGTCTCAAACAAACAAACAAACAAATAAACAAAAAACCCTACAGTTTGCTGTGCATCATTTTTCACACTTCTAGCCAGCTTCCCTGTCTGGAATTTATTCATCCACATGACCTTGATTCTACTGAGAAGTGTACCTGCAAACACTCACTCCAGGGATATATTATATCTCTTAACTAACCCAAATAGACCACAAATCAGAAGATGACATGTAAGTCATCTTCATGAGACTCGGAATACTTTTCAATTAAAAACAATAAAGGTGCACTTTACTAAAATGCAACAAATCAACTTCTGGGAAGATGTCAGAGCAGTAAGCAGCAACAAATCACTCTCCAAGATTCAGAATCCAGACACTGGAAAATAACAACTTGGGGGAAAAAAGAGAAAGGTGGATCCCTAGGACCCAAGAAGAAACTGAAGGGAAAATTATAGACTACAGAAAAATTGAAAAGACAGACCACAACAGAGAAAAAAGAAGGGGCAATCTATACTTTATCCCTGGCTCCTGCCACAAGGCGAGAGAAAGGAAGATAGAATCTACAGAGACACAGCAAAAGCGGTTGACTCCAGAGCCCTCCAGGGAGAAACACATTAGTGGTACAGAGCAGTGGGTGTTGTGCACTACATCAGCTAGTGAGTGACTCCAGTCCAATCCATTGCCATACACCCTGGAGAGAGTGCTTAGTCAGACACCATTTTAGGAAAGGACCAACTGAACCTGGGACTCAGCAGCCACGGGTTGGCTTCATCTCAGGCCTCTCAATGTTAAACTCTCACAGAGACCGGGTGAGGGACAACCACTGGAGATGTCCATGGTCAAGGAACTGGGGTCAGGCCAGCAAGAGAAACACAGTTATAAGCTAAATGACTCAGGCCGGACCCCCATGAGCAGAGATAAGGGTCAACATGAATTTCTGTGGATTTGAAAGTCTCAGAACCAGCACCTCACGCTAATGCTACTACCAACTCACTAGGATTATCCAGCATGGATCTAGACTGATTGCCTCCCTTGTCTACCAGCAAAAGCAGTCATACCTTGCATTGGACATTGCTACAAAACTGTAGACCCCAAAAGGTAACCCCACACCTGAAATCACAGAGAAATTTCTTCTTTTTTTTCTATGCTTTTGGGCTTTTTTTTTGATGATTTGGTTTTGTGTGTGTCTGTGTGTGTGTGTGTGTGTGTGCATGTGTGTGTGTGCACATGTGTGTGCAAAAGTTGTTTTTAAGGGTTTTTTGTTTTGTTTTGTTCTTGTTTTTGTTTTGTTCTTGTTTTTGTTTTCTCCTCCTTTCCTTCCCTTGTGTCTTCTTCAACAATTTTCTGAGACTTGGGTAATCTTCCTCTGTCCTCCAGTCTTGCTTCTAATCTCTTTTTCTTTTTTCATTTTTCTATTTTTTTCCTCTACTCCATTTTAAATTTTCTGCCCTTATGGTAAAATCACTCTACTGTGTAGATATTTACTGTATATTATCTTCAGATTTGTCTAAGATTTTGTTATATAACTATAAATATTGTACCTAGGGTTAAAGGTGGCATATTATGAGTTATCACAGTTTGTCATTTTCCAGTCTGTGTTTGATGCTATTATTATTACTAATTTTACAACTTCACCCAAGATTATATAGTCGTGATCAATTGATTTTTCTTGTATGCCACTACCTAGATTGCATGGAGGTCATAAACAATACTACAGTCCAGTCTCAAATAACTAGGTGCTGGCCCAAATAGGCTGCAACGTTTTATCCCTAAGAAATAGAAAAGGCAGGATCCTAGGACAGAATCAAAGGCCAAAATCAGCTATACCTAGAAGATATCTCTGAAAAGCAGTAATTTCCTTAAGAGCTTTTAATACTAGTAATAAAGCTACCTACAATAAGCAATTTACAAGCTTCAATGCAGAAAAAATATAAACCAAAAAAAAAAGTGAGAAAACACAGAAACAACACGCAACCCAATTCTCCAACCCCCCAGCCAACAAATCCAGGGGGCACTGAGGTGGAAGAAATAAAAAGCTACCCAGGTCAACTTTCTGAAATGGCAGCAGTGGAATTAACAAAATAGATACATGAGTCTCTTGACAAAATGAAAACAGAAATAATTACACAGATAATCAGAGATGACTACAATAATTAAGGAAATGGTTAGTGAGTCTAGAGTAGATACTAATGAAAAAAACAGAGGAGGTTAG